CCCCAAAACCCCAAAACCCCAAAACCCCGTCAGATGGGATGAAGAGATTATTTAAAATTTGAATTAATAATAGAACAGATTATACATAATAATAATTAATAAGTAAATGTAATTGGTATTCAAAAAATTTCTAAAGTCCATCAATGATAGATTAGTTCTCCTTAAGATCTATGTGTAGAACAGCCCTTCAATAAGAGTAAAGGAGTATGATCCTGATCTGGAATCAGATGCAACCAAAAGAAAAGTTTCAGATGATATTGTGATCGACATATAAAATCAAAACGTTTTAAATGACAAATTAGTGAGAAAAAATGTTCTTCTTTCCTGTCTGTTCCAAATCATGATGATAAATACTCTTTTCCTTAATATTGAAAATATTCTACCTACTTGGATTCCGGACCATTTTCCTGAATACCATGCAATGCAAATATCCTTTATTTTGATGTAAGCAATAAAAAACATTCCTTTTATTGGTTTTTTGAATTTTCAAAATTTTAGTGCATACGAGATATCAGTTTTAATATTTTCGCCTTTCATAGGCAAGTATCTCAATTAGGTAGGAAGAAAGAATACAATCATAATTGGTGATCTTATTATGGTAATTATTGAATGTCTATGTATAAATATATTTAGATTATTTCAACTGTTGGATTAGGAGCAACCTCTTTTATAAAGAATGAAAAATACTACCTCTACATTAGCATTTTTCTCAGATTTATTCAAGGTATTGGAAGTGCATAAGTTAATACATCTTGCTTCGCAATCATTACTTTTGTATTCTAGGATGATAGAGAAAAATACATTGGTATGGCTGAATCAGCTTCAGGCTTTGGCCTGATGGTTGGTCCTATCGTTGGTGGCTTATTGTACAACTCATTTGGTTATTTCTCAACATTTTTCATTTTCGGAATAATTCTAGCTGCCAACTTAATGATTGCCTATTTATTCTGCCCTGACTATTTGAACAAGAGTATTGATGAAACAGACTAGACTATGAATCCAAAAGGATGTAAAGAAGTCAGCTTTAAAATGTTCTTGGTCAACAGAAGAGCTAACTTTGCTTTTATTGGTTGCATATTTGTGTGTATCTCAATGAGCTACAATTCTGCTTTCTTGACTGATGTTTTGAGGACTGAAAAAAATATTGATCCTTACTATCATGGGTTTGTATTGTCCTTCCCTATGCTCACATATACAGTCAGCACTATCTATGTCTGCAAAATCCTTAAGTATTTCCCAAGAAGAATATTCATCATGATCTCTCTCATAATTTTGGCAACGGCAACATTTTTTTAAGGGCCTTCTCAGATCCTTAATATTCCAGAATCAAATACTCTTATGATTTTAGGGTTTGGTCTTTGTGGAATCGGCTAAGCATTCGTGTTCATTCCATTATTGCCTGAAGCTATCGAATCAGTATACATCTAGGAAGACATTGTAGAAGGAGAAAATGAATTTTAAGATTAGATCCTAAACGATCTGGCTTCAGCTCTCTACTCAACTTATTATTCGATTGGGATGATACTTGCACCAACTATTGGAGGCTATATATATGAAAGTATCGGTTACAGAAATACCTGTGATTTCGTTGGAATCATTACAATAATCTTTACAGTAATGTTTTTTACCTTCAATGTAGGGTTTAAAATCATTAAGCAAGAAAAACTTATAGCTTAGAGATAAGCCAATTTAAAAGCTAAATACCAAGAGAGATTATCTAATCTGACTAGTTAGGATGAAATTGTGAGAATAAATAATCTTATTGATGACAAATCAGCATTCAAAAGAAATCTATCAATTGAAAAGGAAGATCTATTTTGTTCACCAGTAAAACTAGGATTAATCTCATATCAATAGGATTAAACTGCTGAATACATAATGGAAGATGAGATAGATTTGTGATATTCAATTAAAATTAACTAAGAGAGCACATAATCCAATAAATAAAGTAACATTTCAAAAAAGAGTTAGAAAAAGAAGAAATCAAAAGATCATGTAAATTGAAAAAAAGTAATTAATATCTACTATTAAAGGTCATTATTCCCTTATATCATACTGATTTTAATCTTAATTCATAAATCCATGCATTTAACTGATTACTTTATTAATCTTGGGGTTTTGGGGTTTTGGGG